TTTGGGAGGACAGAAACACCCTGCCAAAATTTGAAGTCATTTGGTTCACGGGAGCCCCTCGCTCAAAGAGCTTGAAGTTTGTATGGGGAAATTCGACAACATTTATTTTCTTCGTGTACAAAATTTAGAATCTTTGGAGCATTGGGAACATCTTGGCTCAAGACCGGATGTGAATCCGAATTAATCCCGAAAAGTTATTAGCGTTTCAAACGAACGCCACCTGCTTTACTTCTGGGGAGGGCCTAACGCGTTTGATGCGGTTTTTAGTTTTACGAACAGGCATGCGAATAGCAATGTTTGTATGGCTATAACTTTTTTGTTACGCCTTGAAATTGGCTGAAGTTTTCACCGTAAGTAGAAAAATGTTCAAAATTATGGTCCACTGAAAATTGGAACAGATCGGCCAAGTGGTTCTAGTTTTATTCTGGGTTTCCGAGAGGCCATCAGTAGGAGAAAATGTACCAGTCGTCTAGAACAAGATGATGCTGGAAAACCACAGCAACAGGCATGTATGGATAATGCTGATTAATATTTTAGTTCTTGTTCTAGCGGCGCCTGTGGTCGTAGTGGTAAGCGTGATTACCTCTTATCCCAGCAGGCCTGGGTTCAATCCTAGTCGGCGCCGCGGGATGTTCTGAGGCATAACATCTCTGCCGTTGGACCCTGGTTCATGAGTTGATGGGTCGATAGATCCAATTCCCTGGCGTTGGTAGCATTAGTGCTCAGCACGGAAAACAAGATCGATGGAAAACAAATCAAAATGTTCTAAAAACTGAATGTCCATCGGAAGGCTATCCGGTGACCCGGAACATCCTTAATCTAGTTAATTATGAATTTTGACCAAAGTAGGTCTTGATTAGTTTCTGCAACTATATGAAATGAAGTAAAAAGCTGAGCAGCCCAATTGCTGGCTTCAAAAGGGTCATCAGATAGCCCACCAGAATGTCTGGAGCATCCGTAACATTGATTGCTACGTAAATTTATTCAAAGTAGGCCTTGATTTTTCTGTGAAACTATATGGAATGTAGTAAAATTGTGGTTTTTGACATAAAGGGTGATACGGTCAAAATTTGGTCAAGGGAAAACGCGTGTAAATCGGTGAAATCGTTTATTTAAAAAATCAAATTAAATTTCTTTTTCAAGTTCAATTAGTATAAAATTCAGGAAAAATATTCAGTTAGGCTTCCGCTTTTCCAAATCCGAATTGCCGGGCCTTACGCTTGACCACTGCCATCAGATTTTGTACAGCCACCTTGTCCACCTTCTTCGCCGCAGAAAGCCAGTTTGCCTTGAACTGCTGCTCGCCCTTAGCAGTTTTTTTGGTCTTCTTTAGGTTCCGCTTGACAATAGCCCAGTATTTCTCAATTGGGCGGAGCTCTGGCGTGTTGAGAGGGTTCTTGTCCTTGGGAACCACCTGCACGTTGTTGGCGGCGGACCACTCCATGGCCTTTTTACCGTAATGGCAAGATGCCAAATCCGGCCAAAACAGTACGGAACAACCGTGTTTCTTCAGGAAAGGCAGCAGACGTTTATTCAAACACTCTTTCACGTAAATTTCTTGGTTGACAGTCCCGGAAGCTATGAAAATGCTGCTTTTCAAGCCACAAGTACAGATGGCTTGCCAAACCAGATATTTCTTTGCGAACTTTGACAGTTTCATGTGCTTGAAAACATCTGCTACCTTTCCCCTTCCTTTTGCCGTATAAAACTCCTGTCCCGGAAGCTGCTTGTAGTCGGCTTTGACGTAGGTTTCGTCGTCCATTACCACGCAGTCAAACTTCGTCAGCATCGTCGTGTACAGCCTCCGGGATCGCGCTTTGGCCGTCGTATTTTGTTTATCATCGCGATTTGGAGTCACTACCTTCTTGTAAGTCGATAGTCCGGCTCGTTTTTTGGCTCGATGCACGGTTGTAGACGATACACCCAGCTTATTTGTGGCATTTTGGAGACAGAGGTTAGGGTTTCGCTTGAAACTACCGGCAACTCTCTATGTCGTCTCAGCGGCTTCCGGTTTTCGATTTCCCCCCGATCCAGACTTCCTGGCTGTCGACAAACGTTCCCCAAACACTTTAATTACATTTGTAACGGTTGATTTGGCAACTTTTAGCGATTTTGCCAACTTTGCGTGCGAGTAGCTCAGATTTTCGCGATGCGCGAGCAAAATTTTGATACGCTGCTCTTCTTGCTTGGACGGCATTTTGACAACTGAAGAGTGAATTCCAAAATCAAAATAGGAGCAACATTCTACACACACACACCTTCAAAATGAGGGGTGTTCAGGTTTTTTAAATGCAAAATTGAAAGAAATACGTCAAGTTGATATTGACCAAATTTTGACCGTATCACCCTTTTTTAGCTCGTCGTTGGCTCCGAGTGGTCACCAGATGGTCCGCCGGAAGATCCCAAAATCCTGTAAAATTGATTGCTGTGTAAATTTGATCAAAGTAGGCCTTGATTTATTCTGATACTATATTGGCAAATCAAAGTTGGCACTCGTGGAGAATAGAAGAACTATGAGAGTGATGATGGTTTCAAAATTTTCCACGGAGAGGTATACGAGTGCAATCTTAAAATGCTTTTATTTTGAAAATGATGCATTTTATTTAAATCTGGTTAATGCTACGCTAGTAGAAAACTTAAGAACTACTTAATAGACATACAATATAGAAAAAATAATTTCTTTTCAGATTTTTATGTGTAAACATAGATTTCAGCTTTTCTACAACTGTAGCAGCAACCAGATATAAATAAAATGCTCTATTTGCAAAATAAAAGCATTTTAAGATTGCACTCGTATACCTCCCCGTGGAAAATTTTGAAACCATCATCACTCTAATAGTTCTTCTATTCACCACGAGTGCCAACTTTGATTTGCCAATGGAATATAGATGAATTGTGATTTTTGATATATCAGCCAGTACTTGCTTCTAAGTGGCCACCAAATGGCCCACCAAAGATCTGGAACATCCGTAAAATTTATTGCTTCATAAATTAGATCAAAGTAGTTGATTTGTGTCTGCAACTATATTAAATGTTGTTAAATTGTGTATTAGCTAGTCATTGGATTTTAGTGATCATCAGATGGCCCGCCGGAAGATCCGAAGATCCAGAACATCCGTAAAATGGATTACTACGTAAATTTCATAAAATTATGCTTAGATTTGTTCTGATACTATATGCAATGTAGTAAAATTGTGGTTTTTGATATATTAGCTGGTTATTGGCTCCGAGTAGTCACCAGATGGTCCACCAGATGTTCCAGAACATAAGTAAAATTGATTGCTGCATCTATTTGATCAAAGTAAGCCAGTACTTTTCTTTGAAACTCTGAATGTAGTAAATTGGGATTTTTGGTATATAAATGTGTGTGTTCACCAAATGGCCCTCCGGTAGACCCGGAAGATTCGTAAAATTGATGGTTGTGTAAAATTGATTTATAGGGGAAATTGGAAATTTTCCCTGAGAATATAATATAGGGTGTCCCAGGGTGTCTAAGCACGATTAAAAAAAAAACGATAACGTAACTCTATTTACAGCAAATTCGATTTTGCTTTCGTATTCATGTTCTCTATAGTATTTTCTTGCAGTTTAACGTAGAAAATCCGAGATCCGATCATTCGTAAGCCAAGGAGCAGATTTTAGATCCCACGCTACTCATTAGCTTCAGCACAGATGCCTTTTCAACAATTTTGGATACTTTTTCCCAGTCTTGCACGAACTTTGTAACGGAATACGCTGCCTTTACATGTTTCCGTTTCAGACTCCCAATGCTCTCTCTTATTTACGCCAATGCCTATCAAAAGTGGACCACATGCTGTTATCACAGTCAAACAGATGTAACTCTTTACAAATAAATTTCCTTAAAAATATCGACACGGAACTCACTATCGACATCTTGCGAAATATTGGTGGAAATAAGTTTGCTTTCCAAGTCTCAAACGATGCTGCATACAAATTCGATAGAACATATAGAAACGTCAAAATGATCCGATGCCAGCGCTGTGGTGAGGGATTCGCGAAACTTATAATATTTAAATTGAACACGTTAAATGCGTGCACGACGATTGAGGAGAAAGAGTAACGTCTGTTTGTCTGTGCTATTAGTCTACTTGATGGATTTCATATATTGAGCTTTTCCTACTCCCCAAAAATAAATAAAAACAGAAGCCGCTGTTTTTGAAGTTTCACTTTTATGAAACTCATTTGTTGATGTAAACAATGAGCTTATATTGGTGATGAGCCCGCTTTAGTGGTTAGCATCGATGCCTCTCATCCCCCGGACTATGTGACTAATAATAAACTGTATTTATTTGATTTTTTATGTTTCAGCTTTTTTACTAACTGCGCATTTGTAAGTAAATGACTACATAATTCATTTTGATTTGTGCTGTTTTTGATTTGATGCTTAAGGATTGTATCATAAGTCAAAACATTACTGAAGCTTCGTGCAGTGAATTGCAGACTTAATTCAATTTCGAAATAATCTGCGTTGCCAATTTCGTTTGTATAAGGGCTCTTCAGTTAATAGCCGTTAATCATACAATATTTATAACGCTTTATACTTGTCTCCAAAGACCTTACCATTGCTGTTCACAAGTACAATCAAACGTGGAAAACGTAACAAATACCTTCACATGTCACACATCTACCAAAACCCATTTCAAAAAAATCCGGATCCGCTCGTGGCATCAGCCGAAGATTTAGAATCTCCCGCCAGCTGCCAGAGATGATGTTTATGCTCGATGCCATCGATTTGACCTAAATTCATTTCCCCTCGCAACTCAGCAACGATGGTGATGCTCCCACACGGAGCGCACATTATTTTTCCCCTAGCCAGTATCCTAAAATTGCATCTCTTCCTCTCGAATTTCACAGATCTGCTCAACGTTTGATTTTGGCGTCGCGTCGTAGCGCGCCAACTCCGTCGTCGTCGTCGTTTATAACACATATATATCCAAACCTATTAACTCACCACTGACTGGCGTCGTTCTTTATTTCAGAGTCTGAAATTCACCACACCATACCACCAGCCTCTCAACCAGCACCCGTAGTTCCTAGTTGAATCGTCAAGATGTCGCATGCGGTCGTCATAACACGGACTACAACCACCACCACCAGTACCTCGCATGTTGTTCTCAACACCGGCTATCTGAAGACAACGCCCGGTCTGCTCAAACTAGCTCAGTTGGTGAGTTTTTTTTTTCGAATATGTTGTCACTATTTGAGTGACTCAAATGTCTCCCATTCCTAGATCATCGGTGCCGTCAACGTTGGAATTGTAGCATGGCATCTGCGTCGCTACCATTCCGTCTATGCCAGCGGTAATCCGGAGCTGTTCTTCCTGCTGATGGCGGTTGCCTTCCTGATCGGAACCTTCTGTCTGTTGGCATCGTGTCTCGTTTCGCTGAGTACCGGCGGAATCATTTCCAAAACCATCTACGAACTGGTCTATCATACGATTGCCTTCTTGTTGTACCTCATTGCATCGATCATACTGCTGGTGGACGTCACCAACGGACGATACTACTCGACTCTCAAGGATGCCTACATGATTGCTTCTGTAAGTTTTCCAATTCGATAGTTTAAAAATGTCAAAACTAACTGGTTGTGACTTATTTTTTTTCAGATACTGGGCATCATCGTTTCGGCACTCTACCTATTCAGCGCTTTGTTAGCCCAGCGATCTTACCGAGGAATCTAACCGATTAAAGTCACAAAATTTACACCTAATTTATAATATTGTGCAACTAAAAAAAAAAACTCATAAAAATACCACATAAACAACAATATTGAACCATACAATCACAAACTACGTATAAGTGTCGTCAGTTGCCTGAACCATGTGTGCTTAGAAATTTTGAATGCTTTTATGAAATGTCTTTTGATACAGTTTACTACATTTTTGTTTGTCTTCAAATTTTATACAAGTTATGTTTTGCATTAGTAGATATAAGTGTACTGCCAAGGAGGAAGATCTATTACAAACTTATTAACTTATTGTTTCTCTCAAAATTAAGCCTTCCCGATTTTACTTTAAAATATATGTGAAAACAGGGCCAAGATCTA